GGAATGCCTGGGCCTGGGCCCTTGGCCAGAGTTCTGAGGCACTCATCTCACTCTGCCCCAGAGCCAATTCCCTGGGAATTGTAGGCTCTGTCAGGGGCCTGGAATGCCCTTTGGTGTTTTTGGGGTTGGGTGGGAAGGGATGAGACACCTTCCCATTTGGTCCTTTGGGTCTGTCTGTATCTCCTCATGTTATGTCTACAGCCCCACCGAGGTCAGCCAACTCAGAGCCTCAGAGTGTCAGAGTCGGAGAGAGGCTGCGTCTGAGGGTCTGGGGTTAAAAGACTCTCTAATTCTCAACCCTGAGACGTACAGTCACGTAATCTGGGCAGATGACCTCCTTTGCCAGGTCTGGTAGGAGAAGGCTGTGTCTGATTGGAGGACGCAGCCTGGCTATGGGGGTGGGTTTGAACCCAGGCCCCTTGCTCCCCCTCCCTCCAGTCAGGAGGCTGCATTCTCAGGTGATCCTGCTTTCTTGGAGCGTCCCGCTCTCCAGGGCAGGAGGTCCAAAGACCTGCCCACCCCCATGGCCCCCACGTCTGGAGTAGAACCCGTCCTGCAGCTTGCAGGGGGGCATGAAGTGTCTGGCTCCTACCCACACTCACCTCACCCTCTCATGGCTTGGAATCATCTCCTCTGAAACTGTCACCAAGTTGGTGTCCCCAAGTCTGACTTTGAATCCCATCACTCCCCCACTCTGAGGCCCTCCATGGCTCCTCTGTTAGCCACTTAGGCAGCTCTTGGTGGGCCACCTGCAGAGCCTGGGCCTTCATGCCCATGAGCCTTTGCTCTCATGGTTCCCCCACCTGCATGCCTTGTCCTCCTCTCTGCCTCTTTATTTCTTGCCCATCTTTCATGGCTCCAGCAGGAAATTTCCCACTTCCCCCAGACCTCTCCTACATAGCCCTATCGGGTGACGGGGAGTCCTGAGCCATGGCCTTGAGATAAAGGCTGTGCTTCCCTGAGAGTATGTCCTTGTTTCCAGAGAGTCAGTGGAGAGAGGGCTAGGTCGGAGCACTACTAGATGTTACTCTGAGCCCTTGGGAGCCATGGTGGGTGTTTGAGCAGAGGAATGAGCAGGCCAGAGGGCTTAAGGAGCATCTGCCTTTTGGGTAAAAAATAGATGCTTCCCTGGCAGTTCTGAGCCCTCTTTCCCACTCCTTCAGGCTCCTCTCAGCTGGGCCCAAGTGGAGCATGAGCAGGGGTCACTGGCCAGTTCAGAAACTCCCCTTTGGGGTGACATGGGCTCCTTGCTCAGTTCTGAGGTAGGGTGGTCATGGGCCTTTTGGGCATATGGCCTGAGAGGGCACCCTGCTCCCATGGCTGCTATTTGCTCTAATCTTGCTTGGTTCTCAGGCCCTGAGTCTGGCACCCTGGCCATGTGCAGCCCTGAGGAGGCAGCCCTGCTGCAGCTGGAGGAGGTCTTCTCAGCCACACTCGCACGCATCAACAGCTTTGTCCTCCAGCCCCTTCTGGAGGCCGGTGAGTTGAGGGGAGGGTGGGGGATGCAGGAACCGTCCTAGGGACAGGAGTCCTCCCTTGTTGGACCTTCTGAGCTACAGCTTTCTCAGCTGCAGATGGGAGCGGTGACATTTGGTGTGGGTGTCTTCGGATGGACCCAGGGCCCTCACCCCCAGTTGCTGGCTGCTTCCTTCTTAAAGGGACCCCAGGGAACCAGGCTGTGAACCCCATTCTAGCCCAGACCTGCTGTGAACGGAGACGATGTTCCATCTCTCCCAGGGTACAGGCCTGGATTCTCTGCCTGAATTATCATCTTGCTTTCACCCAGGGCATGACTGGAAGGCAGGATGCCCGGTTTACGGAATGACCTTGGGCAGGTGCCTTCCTCTTGGGGGCTCTGTTGGTGCATCTGTGAATGGCAGGAGACTACAGGACCCTATGGACTCCACATTCTGGACCTGAGGAAGCTCTGAAACTCAGGGGGAATTCTTGTACTTGGTGGCCCTAGGTCATCAGTGCTGTCCCTGTTTAGTGAGGAGGTGGACACGTGCCCCTGTTGAATCCACAAGGGTGCTGCCCACTGCTGTAGCCTGCCCATCCCTTGCTGAGCTCAAGGGGGCACATGGGCTTCCAGTTCTGTCCCAAGGACCCCAGGGATGTGGGACCCTGGCTGCAGCTCCAGGACTAGGGGTGCTGCTGCCCCTCGGGTGACCACCCAGGGCCTCTGCGTGCTCCCTGGAAGGTGGAGCGGTCCTGTTCCCCTCACAGTGTGCTTGTGCTCCTGTCCCAGCTCCAGAGCCCTCAGATCCCTGGGGCAGAGAGTGCCTAAAGCTCCTGCAGCAGCTGCACAGGAGCTCCCAGCAGCTGTGGGAGGTGACGGAGGAAAGCCTGCACTCACTGCAGGAGAGGCTGCGCCACCCGGACTCCATCCGTCTGGAATCCCTGCTGCTGCTGCACAGCGCTGACCGTGTCCTGCAAGTCCACCTGGAGTAAGTTAGCCGAGGCGGGGCTGGGACTGGCACTGGGACTCACCTGGGTCAGGGCTTTGGCAAAGGTTTGGGTTCAGCCCTGGGTTTGGGTGTTAGCCTGGTGGCAGGCTCAGGCACCCCAGATCTGAGCCTGGTGGCCTCCCAGGGAAAAGAGACTTTGAGTTAGAATTGTCTAGTTGGGTCAGTTAAGACTCAAGGTCACCAGTGCCCAGAGCCAGGCCCTCAGGGCTGCAGCCACTCAGTGGGTGGGATCTGGGGACACCAGAAGGGCAGGGGCTTGGGTCTGGAGCTGAGGGTTGGGCTTGCTGGGTGTCCCCTGTGCTACCTACAGGTACATCGAGTCCTACACAAGCTGCGTGGCAATGCAGGCCTTTCAGAAGGCAGTGAAGAGGAGAAGGTGAGCACGGATGCTGCAGTGGGCCTCTGAGTTGGGGGTGTCTGGGAGGGAGGGCTTGGGGAAGCCACGTCCCCAGAGCAGTGAGTGTCACGGCCCGGGACTCAGCCTGAGCAATCCTGGCTCTAGCAATTACACGCTGATCCACACTGAAGAGAGAGAGGGAAGCCTAGTGAGGCTGTGAGCAGAATCCATATACCAACTAACGGGAGTGACCCTGGGGCGGGGAAGGATTCCTAATTGCTACTCAGGGTGGGCTTTAATCTCTGAGATACTGCTGCCAGATCTCCAAGAGGGTCACTCAGCCACTGTTTTTCTGATGGGAGAGAGGTTTGGGGTCTGGGACTGTCCTGGGATCTGGGGGATTAGCCAGGGCAAGGGGGCAATGGTGGCAGGTGTGGGAACAGAGGAGGGGAGAGTGAAGGGGTGTGCGGCCCTCCCTCCACTCAGCGAGCACTGGCGGGACCAGCGGAAGGCGCTGCAGCAGTTCCTGTCGGGCATGAGCTCAGAGGGCTCGGTGGGCACAGCACTGGTCCAGGCTCTCCGCCAGCCACTCACCCATCATGTGCAGCAGTGCGTGCTCCTCCTGCTGAGCCTCAGGGACACTGTCGGGGAGGTAGGTAGCAGGGGTGACGGGGAGTGGGGGGGAATTGCTGGTTATCACCGTGGGGAAGCTGAGGGACGGGAGAAACGGGCCTCTGGCTCAGGGAACCTGCCTACTCAGGAACCCTGGTTTGAGAAGGACCTGGCCATGCCTTGGGGACATGGTCTTGTTCTGGGGGCGGTTTGAAGGGATATGTCCTTGCCCTGGGGTATCTGAGGTACATGGCCCTGCCCTGGTGGAGCCAGCAGAGACCCAGAGAACAGATGTAGAATCATGTACTGGGTGTGAGGACACATGACCCAGCCCCAGCTGGGGGAGTCATCGAATGGTCCTAAATCCCCTGGAAGCATCCTCCTACTACCAGAGGAGGGGCCGGCAGGGAGAAAAGGGAAAACTTAGACTTAGACCCAGACCTCCTGACCGGCTGGGGCCAGGCCAGGGCTGGGGCAGTCATCACAGGGTGGGAGAGGATTCTGATAATACCCCACCCCGGCTGCTCTGGCTGCTCTGTCCCCCTACAGCGTCACCCCACCCGGGAGCTGTTGGTGCACGCAGCCACCATCTTTGGGAACTTGCAGTCCTTCATGAGGCAGGAGCTGGACCAGGCCATGGCCACGCAGGCCCTCTGGCACACTCTGAGCAGCCGGCTGTGGGTGAGTTCGAGGCCTGAGGGGCAGTGAGGGAAGGGGTTGCCGTCCAGCAGGGGCCCGTTGGGTAGCTTGAGCTGCCTGCTGCATGCTCCATGCCTCAGCTTCCCCACCTGGGTCGGGGGGCAGTGGCTAAAGCAGGTGTCTTTGACGTTCCCCTGTCCAGCCATCCTCACCCATTTGCTGAGCACCTCCTGGGCTGGGATGTGAGCTTCTGGCTCTGGGGAAGAGTGGTCAGCAGAACCAACCCTCTCTCCTGGGATGTCACTGAATGATTGCACCCCCGAGTCACTGCCTGTATTGCCCCTGCAGGAGGGAAAGTCCCCTGTGCTCTGACAGGGCATGACAGGCTTGGGGCTCAGTGCAGCAGAGAATTAGGAGGACAAGTGAAGGGGACAGGAATTGCCAGAGAGAGGCAGGGATTGTAGAACCCTGGGTGAAAGTTGATGGGGGCTTGGCTGGGGCCGTGGCCTGAGATGGGTTGGAGGAGGACAAAGTAAGCCTTCAAGAGAAGTTGTGCTGTCCTTCTGGGTATAGCCAGGAATGAACCCCCCCCACCTTGGAGCCCCAGTGCCCATCACTGACCTGGGAGCCTCCAGGAGATGCTCAGAGTGTTGGGGGAGGTGCCTGGGGCAGAGGCGGGCAGTGGAGTGGCTAGTAGCATCCAGGACAGAGGTCCCTGAGCCTTGCACCTCCCTCCTCGCCTCACCAGGATGTGCTCTGTACCCCCGCTCACCGACTCTTGCAAGACAGCCAGGACATACCTGTGACGGTCACCCCGCTGAGGGCAGAGCGTGTGCTGCTCTTTGATGATGCCCTTGTCCTGCTACAGGTAGGGTGGGGCTAGCCAGAGGTCTTGGGGTCACAGTGGGGGTCTGAGGGCTGGTTGAAAAAACGAGTAGGAAAGAGACATGTGGCTGGGAGCGAGAACTTGGGGAGGTGATGGGGGCAGAAAGGCAGGGTGCTAGGGTGGGGGCAGCAGGTGGAGCCATCCCTGAAGGAGTGTGGGCTATGGAGAAGGGCTCTTCCAGTCTCAACTCTCCACAGCTGGTATCCCTGTTAAATGTCTTCACCTCAGTTTCCTTATCTGTAAAGTGGGACAGTTGTCAGTTTGTGCTTCAGTGGATGGCAGACAGCTCCTAGTTCTCTTCCTCCAATAGGAGAGGAACCTCAGACAACGGTCATAGGTGGCCCATAGTGGCTGAGGAGGGCTGCGTGAACCATTCAGGGCACATGCAAGGCTTCTAGAGAGGAGTTCCATGTAGCAGCAGTGCCCGGGCTCTCGGCATTACAGAAGTCAGGAGGGAGCCAGTACTAGGGTTTGGGATTTGTTATGTGGCCCATAACCTTGGCTGTGCCTAGTTCCCCCTGAACTTATATTGCCCTTGTGATAGCCAGAGCACTGTCTTCTGTATCCCTCTAGAGTGTCAGCCTGGAACTCCCCTGCAGATAGGGAGGCTGAGGCCTAGAAGGGATGCTACTTGCCCATCCAAACCTGTGTCTCCTGAAGCCTGGTTTTGGGGTTTTGATTCAGTTTGAGTTTCCCTCCACTCCCGATTTCACCCTCTGTGCTCCAGGTATGCTGACGAGATACTGTCACTAAAAGGTGCTGAGCCCTTTCCCACCTCTGGACCTTGGCACGTCCTTTTGTCTGTGCTGGACCCTCTCTTGTCCTGGCCCATGTCTGGCACACTCCTCCTCCCCTTCAGGCCTGGACCTGGTGCCGCTTCCACCTGTGTCTGTTGCCAGGCGAAAGGTCACTCCGCAAAATCTTCCAGAGGAAGGGAGGTTTGGTCTACCTCTCAGAGCAGGGATGACATTCCAAGTAGAAGGAACAGCACGTGCAAAGGTTCAGGCTGAGGAGAATTTGTGGCAAACTGGAGGAGGCCCGGGCAGTGGAGGGGAGGGTCTGTGTGGTCTCAGGTGTCAGGCTCAGCCGTAGGGACCTTAGAGAGGTTTCCAGCAGGGTCTAACAAGATCCATGCCGCATTTCCAGAAGACCACTCTGGGGCCCCTGATGGAGCAGAATGTCGGGGGTGCGGGAGGCTTGTCCTGGGTTTCTGGCCAGGCCCTCGGGTGGGAAGGGAGGTGGAGGACCTGCCCTGGAGATGGGGAGCCGACAGGGGTGGTGTGGGACTCAGTGCTGGGCGTGCCGCACTGAGCATGCTGGGGATACCCAGCGGTGAGCCAGCGAGCTGCTGCTTGGGAGCAAGGCCAGACCAGCGTCTTGCCCACCTGTGCCCCCTCTTCTTCCAGGGCCACAGTGTCCACACCTTTGATCTGAAGCTGGTGTGGGTGGAACCTGGGCAGGACGGGTAAGCACCCCCATCCAGTGGCACCCCAGGCCTTCCCTCCCTCTACCCCATGTAACCTGCCCACCCCAGGGCTCTGACTTGGGCCCTCCCTCAGCACCCTCCTGGACAGAGCTGGAGCCTACTCATCAGCTCCATCTGTCTAGGTGCATGTTTCACCTCCTCACGCCTGAGGAAGAGTTCTCCTTGTGCTCCAAGGACCCGCAGGGCCGGGTGAGTGTGAGCAGACTGCGAATCCGGGGAGTGGGGTCAGAGGAGTGAGGGAAGGCGACAGGAGGGTAAGGGGAGGGCACAGGTATACAACCCTGGAGGCTCGTTGGGAATGTCAAGCCTCTGGAGTCATGGTCAGAGTGAGTCAGGGGTCAGCCTGGGCTCAGGCATCAGAATGCCGAAGAGAACACATGTTTTCCTCTGTGAAGCCAGGGTTGGGGCCTGTTCGAAGGTTCCGTTTGGCCTCTGTGGGCAGGCCCAAAGCTGCAAACAAGTCTTCAGGTCTGGATGAGGCCCCAGGGAGCAGCATGGGAGCCGTTGGAGGTCCCCGCAAGTGATAAGAGTGGGGTGTGGGTAGGGTGATACCTGATGCCGCCCCAGGAGGCCTCCTAGAGGGGCTGCCTCCAGCGGCAGGGGCCTGTCCCGTGTTTCCCTGTCCCCCCGCAGGTGGCCTGGCAGTGGAAGGTCACCCAGGCTGTGTGCCAGACCTTGCGTGGGAAGAAGGACTTCCCGGTGCTGGGGGCGGGCCTGGAGCCTTCTGAACCCCCCACCTGCCGCTGTGGAGCATACACCTTCCGCGCGGAGGGCCGCTTCAGCCAGGCCGCCTATGAGGGCGAGTGGTACGGGGGCAGGCCCCATGGCAAGTGAGTGACCGAGGAGGCTCTGGGCCAAGCAAGGCAGGGATCCTCCTGGGAGTCTGAGGGGCAGACAGGACGCATATGGACCTAATTGCCTCGGGGCATGAACCAAAGGCTGTTACCCCCTGTGGTGAATTCTGTTTGTCCCCCACAGTCTCTCTTTTTCTTTTGCGGTACGCGGGCCTCTCACTGCCGTGGCCTCTCCCGTTGCGGAGCACAGGCTCCGGACGCGCAGGCTCAGCGGCCACGGCTCACGGGCCCAGCCGCTCCGCGGCATGTGGGATCTTCCCGGACCGGGGCACGAACCCGTGTCCCCCGCATTGGCAGGCGGACTCACAACCACTGCGCCACCAGGGAAGCCACCCCACAGTCTCTCTTAAGTCCTCTTGGGCAGGACCTGGCCCACTGTAGGTTTGTGCCAGATACAGTCTTGATGGCAGTGAGGCTGCCGAGCGTGGGGCAGACATCAGGAAGCTGACCTGCAGGGCCCACGGTTACCACTCTGTTCTCAGGCGGGTGGAAGAAAACCTTCGTGTCTACATAGCATTGTCTGGTGGTGGTAGAAATGTTTTGCAGACATTCTGTCTTCGTCAGTCCTTACAAGAATGCTCTGGGGGAGTGTTATCACCCCCTTTAGGTGATAGGTGCAGAAGCTGAGGCCCAGAGACTGGCATGACTTTCCTCAGGCCTCAGTGAAGGTTCTAGGGTGAACCTGGCCTCAGTTGCAGGTCGACATGACCCCACAGGCAGATAGGCTTTTGAAGAACATGGCCCCAACTTGTGCTACAGCTGGCGAAACCAAGGCCCAGAAAGCAGAAAGGACTCGCCAAGGTTACGCTTGCAAGCATTCCACTCGTTTCTGTTACCCTGCCTGCTTCCAGAAAGGGCTTGAGGAAGCTTATGAACAAAAACACAGAAAAAGCAATGCTGTGTGAGAAGAGGAGACAAGGATGGTAGAAACCCCACTGACTAGTACTTGGCTTGAGCTTGAAGGTTAGCTCTGAGCTTCCTGTTGGTCAAGGGAAAAAGGCAACCTGGATGCTTCCAGAGCTCTCCCTGCTGGGTGTGGAGCGCACTCTGTGAGGCTGCTGGGGCCATTGTGCCAGGAGTAGAGAAGGGCTGAGAGCCCATGTGGGATCTTAAAGCTCAGAGAAGAAGACCGAGTTGGGGCAGAGAGTCCAGTCCAAGGGGGATCGAGGCCTCGGAGAGAGTCTGCGGCAGAGGTTGGCTGGGGGTCTTGTGTGTGTTGAAGGTCTGGTGGGTCTGATGCCCATGGACCTGATGCCCGTGGACCTCGACTGTGTTACAGGGGAACCCTCAAGTGGCCAGACGGGCGGAATCATGTGGGGGACTTCTGCCAGGGCCTGGAGCACGGGTAAGGCTGGGGCTGACACGGGACTGTGTGGTGGGCAGGCAGGGAGTGGTTTCCACCCCTCTCCACTGTCACCAGCCTGGCCCCATCCTGCATTCCCAAACCTCAAGCAGAAACTTGGAGGCCATGTGGTCCAGCTCCACTCATTGTCCTAAAGGGGAAACTAGGCCTGAGGAGGGGGGTAGGTCATGCAGGGAGTGGTCCAGGGCCAGAAGGCCCTCCCAGAGTGCATGGGGGTTGGGGTGGAGATGGGGTGTCCTGAGGGGCCCTTGGGAACAAGATGGGGCTCAGCACCTCTCAGATTCTCCCCATCATCTGAGAAGGCCCCTTGGAAGAGCAGGGACATTCCTGGGCATGGAGGGGATGTGACAGGTGTCTTGGGCCAGGGCTATGGCCCCAGTGCTGACTTCCCTCCCTGCCCACCCACACTGACAGCTTTGGCATCCGCCTGGTGCCCCAGGCCTCCGAGGATAAGTTTGACTGTTACAAGTGCCACTGGCGGGAAGGCAGCATGTGCGGCTATGGCATCTGTGAGTAAGTGACCCTTGGCCTGATGGTAGGACAGGCTCGTGGGACAGGCTTGTCCTCTGGGAGGCAGGGCCAGCCATTGGTGACCCTCCGCAGGTACAGCACCAGCGAGGTGTACAAGGGCTACTTTCAGGAAGGCCTGCGGCATGGATTTGGGATCCTTGAGAGCACCCCGCAGACCCCTCAGCCCTGCAGGTACACGGGCCACTGGGAGAGGGGCCAGAGGAGTGGCTATGGCATCCAGGACGACGGCGACAGGTGAGTGCTCTGCAGCCCCGCACCAGGATTGAGGGGCAGAGAGGGCCCTCACAGACCAAATGCCTCAGGACGTGGGTTCCCTGTCATCACTGGGTCCATTCTGTCTGTCCCCCAGGGTCTCTCTGAAGCCCCTCACTTTCTTTCCACTCCCTCGGTTGTTGCTGAGGCTCAGGATGAGGGACCCCGACCTTGACTGCAGGAGCCCCCCCCAACTCTGGCCCCTCCCTGTGCTTTCAGAGAGGAGTTTCTGGCCCCCTGATCTGGTCCTATCAAAGGATCACAGCCCTTCCAGGCTCTCTGGGCTGAGACAGAGCCCAGTGTCCTTGGCCTGACATTTGAGGCCTTGCCTGCTCCTCTGACCTCATGCCTGCCGGGCCACCTGTGTACCCCCCAGCCTTTTAGACCACTGAACGCCCCCACGTATCTGTCGTACACTCCTACCTCAATGGCTTTGCATATGTTAAATGGCACCCTTACTCCATCTGTCCTTCCTGCCACCTCTCCCGGGAAGCCTGCCAGGATGCCCTCCCCCAGGCAGGCTCCCTTCCTCCTCCACCCTCGTTCCTCCTGCGGGTCCTCACCTCACCTGCCCTATGTCTGACTTGAGTGGATTCAGGCCATGTCATTGCTCCTTATCTGACCCCTGCCCCCCACCCTGGTCCCGTGCCAGCAGAACACAGAAGGTGCATGGGAACAATTCTGATCCAACTCTGGCCCTACTCTCTCCTCCCCCAGGGGTGAGCGCTATATTGGCATGTGGCAGGCTGACCAGCGCCATGGCCCAGGGGTCGTGGTCACCCAGGCGGGTGTCTGCTATCAGGGGACCTTCCAGGCAGACAAGATGGTGGTGAGTGCAGTGACCCACGTGTGTCCTGAGCTACCCTTTCGCTGCTCTGGGGGCTCCAAAGCTGAACTGAGACTGGTCAGGGGTGGATGGGGCAGTAAGCGGGGTTCCGACGTGCTGGAGGGAGCCAGAACCTGGGCAGGAATCCAGTTCTGCCACCTACCTACCCTGGCCTTGGCCAAGTCCCTGCCCCTCCCAGCCTCAGTTTTCCCATCAGCAGCTCAGGTGAACTACTTATCGTAACGACTCACTAAAATAGCAACAATGAAGTGCATAGTAATGAGGATGCCAGCAGCCTCTACTACCCATGTTTATAGACCCCTAACTGGGTGTCTAGCTCTGGGCTAAGCCTCCCAACATGATCTCATGGGATCCTCCCAGTAGCCCTGGGGTCATGTTATTGTCCCTAGTGTAAAAGTGACAAACGTGAGGCTCAGAGGGGTCAGAGAACCTGCCCACTGTCGCATTCTGTTGAGTGTCAGAACTGAGGCTCAAGTGCAGGTCTCCCGCGCCCGGGCATAGCCCTCACCTTCTGCCTCATCCACACCCTGCCAGGTGCTTGGCACATAGTGAGGCTCTGGCCTGATGGCTGTTACTGATACTGTGGCTTGTTTGTTTATCTATACTTTGTCCTGGAAAGGATTGAAAGAGGAAGAAAAGGTAAGAATAGGCACATAAAATAGATTCAGAAATAAGTAGAACACGAATTGTATCCCGTTTGGTTCTGAGCTTCCTGGCAGCCAGTGCAGCACAGGAGGAGCCTGATCAGCTCCACTGTCCCCAGGGTCAGTGACAGGGAAGTGGGGATGGTTCAGGAAAAGCCCAGTACTTCCTGAGCTGTAGGTGGGAAGGGAGGGTCCCCCAGGAGGCTTCTTGAGAGAGGCTGCTGGAGGGGAGGAGCCAGGTCCCAGGGTGTCGGTCAAGGTAACCCAGGGTCGGGGTCCATGGGCCTTGTGCTCAGTGCTCAGAAGGCCAGGGGCTGGCATCCCACCTAGGCACAGTCCTGGGAGGTATGGCAGGGCTCAGGACCCTTCTGCCCATGGGTCATTGCCCACCTCCCCTCCCCACCGCCAGTCTTCTGGCCCTTCCTAACCCACTGCTCCTACCCTCCCCACTTCCTTCCCTAGGGCCCAGGGATCCTTCTCTTTGAAGATGACTCCTTGTATGAGGGCACCTTCACCAGGGACCTGACCCTCGTGGGGAAGGTGAGAGCCACTGAGACCTTACTCCACTCCCTGCTGAGACCTTGGCTGGGGTCTGTAATCTCCCTGCTTGGATTCAGGGCTGAGGGTAGGTGGAGCAGGTAAGGGAGGGCCTCTCCCATCTCCACTACATCTAGGAGGTGAGTACAGTGACCATTCCCTGCTGCGGAGGTGTGATTTGATCGGGTGTGAGTCAAGAGGGGATAGGTAGGCTTGCCTTGGGTGCAGAAGGTGCTGGTGGTCTCCTGGCTGTGTCCCCTCCTGGCCTCCAAGATAGGGATCCACCCCTTCCACCACCACCATCAGTGCCTTGGGCAGGTGCCCCTGGAGGCATTGTCCTTCAGTATGTTTCTGCCTGAGCTGACCTTGCAGAAGGCAGTTGTATCCCTGCTGGGGCCTTTGGAAATGTGGGGGCTGTTTGACTGGCGGGTACTATGGCATCTAGTGGATGGAGACTAGGAATGCTGTGAATGGAACAGTCCCATGCAGCAAGGAATTGCCCCTCCTCAAGGCCGGTAATACCTCATGTCCTCCCGAGGCCTCTGCCTACTTCTGGACCCAGTGGTGGTCCTCCCCACTCTGACTATGAGTCCCTTCTCTGTCTCCCTCGCCGTTTCCTGCCTCAGAGATGAGCCCCTTGGTGGTGGGCACAGGCAGGGGCTCCTGCAGGGGTGGAGGATTATGAGCCCCTTGGGGTGGGGCAGATTGAATGGGTGGTGGGAAGGCCATCCATCAGTTTCTAGCCTCTGTGACCCGGGATGGAGAGGCATGAGGCCTGTCATGATGGGATGGAGGGGCAGCTGGGCAGACAGATGGACAGACATCCCTGCATCTGTCTCCCGGCTTCCAGGGCAAGGTCACCTTCCCTAATGGCTTCACCCTGGAGGGCTCTTTTGGCAGTGGGGCAGGGAGAGGACTGCATACCCAGGGTGTGCTGGACACAGCTGCCCTCCCTCCAGATCCAGGCAGTACCCGCAAGAGGTGAGAGACTGACCGTCTGGCCTGTGTATTCTGAAGCCTTTCTGGGGGGTGTGTCTGTGTGTGTCTATGTTTCTACCCTAAAGACTCAGGTCTCGTTAGAACGGCTTTTCTGTACCTCCTCTTAGCTCTTTGGAGAGTTCAGAGAGCTCAGGTCACATAGCCCTTGTCGGAGACTCTTGGAATTAAGGGCTATGTGACGGTAACTCCACATGCCACAAAACTGGAGAAAAATACTGTGTGTAGGCTTTGCTTAGACCCTGCTTTTTTTCTAGGAAGGGTGCAAGACAGTTTATGAAACAAAACAAACAAGAATAAGATAGAAAATTAGAGTGTGAGTTGAGCTTACAAGAAAGGGAGGTGCAGATAGGCCTTATAATCAAGCATTAGCCTGGCTCTGAGTTCCCTGGCAGCCAGGGTAAAGAAGGAAACTTACTAAGTGGAATCACTGTCCCTATCATGGGGTATTTGAGGAGAGGATGGACTTCGTCCCTATGGGGACAGGGTTCTTCCTTGGAAAACCGTTGTTCAAGTGGTGACTCTTACTATGTCCGTTGAGGTGTGGGTGGTGGTTCTAATGGTGCCAGCCCGCATTTCACATGTTGTTTACTGGACACATTGTCCCTGCATGTTTCTTTTCCCTGACAGCAGGAGCTAGAAGTGGATGGCAAACCCTAGGGGTGTGAGCCCGGGTCGGGTGCAGGTGTAGGAAAATCTATGAGCGTGACATGGGAGAGCAGTGCTCCATTAGACACTGCGCCAGACACACACACGGCCAGACCCCTAAGCCTATTGGCTGAGACAGGATCAAGCTCAGGAAGGACCCAGGTGTGGTAGGAGGGAGAGTGGGGTCCCGTGGCGGGGGAATCCTGGGATTCGGGCCCTGGTCTCTCTTAGGCCAAGACCCCACTCTCTGGACTTGGCCTTCAGCTCTCCAGATCTTTCTGTTTCTTTTCCAGTGCTCTGTGTGCCCCTGTCTCTTTTCTCTACCGTGGAGTAGATTCTCTCTGACCCTTCTCTGCCTCCCGTTTCTCCTCCTGGAGCCTTGGAGGTCAGGCCGCTCTGCATCCCCGACTCCACCCACCCGACCTGGGCCCTGACTCTGGGCCAGGCTGGATATCCCCACCTCTCCAAGGGCTGAACAGGGTCCTGCCCAGCATGGCTCCATCCCTATCCATGTCCCCCACTGCCTCCATCGCAGGCAGCTGGGCCTGGGCGTCTTCCCCGTGGAGAGCCGCTGGCAGGGCGTCTATGGCCCTTTCCAGGACTTTGTTCAAGCCGGCTGCCCTGGAGACCTGCAGGAGGCCCTGCTGGGCTTCCACGTGCAGAGCTCAAGGGAGCTGCGCAAGTCCCAGGAGTACCTGTGCTGCGAGAGGTGAGGCCCAGGCATGCGTGGGCGTGTGCACCCATAGGGCATCCAGAGCTCAGTGTTGGGGTCAGTGGGGCTCTGAGTGGGCCAGGGGAGGAAGGCTTCCCAGAGAGGGCAGGCCTGGGCGTGGGTGAGAGACGTGTGTGTGTGTGTGTGTGTGGTGCCCCAGGACCCACCCCGAGGACCACGCAGGCAGAATGGAGGACATCCTGGAGGAGCTGCTGCAGCACCGGGCGCCCGAGGCCCTGCAGCAGTGCCTCAGGAAGGTAAGGGCTCCAGGGGAGGGTGCTGACCAGTGGGGACAGGCCTGCCTGTGGGCCCTTGCTGAGAGTGCCTCGGTGCTCCCCTCGAAGAAGTGGGGTCTTGCGTGGGCATGCTGTGCTCCAGCCCACGGTGCTGAGTCTCTCTTTGTTGCCTTTGCACCTGCCCAGGCCCTGAACAACTCTCTGCATCCCCTGGGAAAGCTGCTCCGGACTCTGATGCTGACCTTCCAGGCCACATACTCAGGCATTGGGGCCAACAAGCACCTGCAGGGGCTGGCGCAGGAGGAGGTGAAGCAGCATGCCCAGGAACTCTGGGCCGCCTACAGGTGAGCTTGGTGGCACATGGGGACAACCACTGCCCTGTGACCCCAGGGCGTGGGGTGGGAGGAGCTCTGCACTTTCCAAGCATCAGCTCTGCCTGGTGCTCTGGGTAGGAAGGGTGCCTTTGCCTTGGGTCTAGATCGAGAAAGAAACAGAGGGTGGGTTGGTTAATATGCAGCTGGTGAGCATAGGGGTTAGAGGGTGGGGAGGTGATAGCAAGGCCTGACTGCAGCCAGAGTCCAAGCCCCAGCCAGGTCCTGGGCTAGCCCTGACCCCAGGAGAACTCTAACCCCACTGCAAACTGAGCCTGACCTGGGCTCAGACACCATCTCCTGTCCTGTCCCGACTGAGCTGTGACCTCGTCAGACACTATAAACTGAAACCTTAGATGCTGCAGTTAGTTCTTTTGTAGAGTTCCGGGACACTCAGGCGGACATCCCGTACTCCCAACCTCCTCACTGCTGGGGTTTGGGCCACTGGGCTCGGCAGTCCTCAGGCTCCATGGTTCTGGGGGTGGAGCCCACCTGCCTGGCCTTTGGTGACTCCCATTCTGTGGGAGATGGCAGCCACGCTGCCCCTCCCTTTGGTTTGCAGGGGTCTGCTGCAGGTTGCCTTACAGTGCAAGGGCCAGGCCCCAGAGGAAGATGAAGATGCAGAGACAAGGTGACTGCCCCCATTAGGTCTGTGGGGTTCTCTGCCCTGGTGCAGCCAGGCTCGGGTCCTGGGAGTCCTTATACCTTTGCTTCTGGGCCCTCCTTCGGGGGAAAAGGGTATTTCTTGGGAAATGTTAGGGGTTCATGCTATTGACCAAATATTGTTCATTGACCATTCAAGAATCAGAATGATCCATGACCTCTCTTCCTTGAGCAACCTGGGGAGGGGCACTGCCACAGTGCATCAAATGCATCTTTGTTCTAAACATGTTATCCCACCCTCATCTCTTGGGTGTATGGAGGGTGAGCAGCTGCCTCGGGCACCTCCTTCTCCCTGTGCACAGATGTGGAAACTGAGGCCTGGCAGGGGCTGAGCCTGAGGTCACACAGAGCAGGAATTAAGTGGGTCATTAAATCTGTCTCCCCAGTCCCCCGAGACCAAACCTTACAATTTGCCTTCAGATTCCGGGCCCAGAGATCCTGATCAGAGAGGTCTTTCTGTTACTGCATTGCAGGAGGCAGGGGAAATGGGGTTAGACATTAGGGAGAACTTCCCCCTGAGTCCTAGGAAGCACAGAAAACTAGGAGGCAGAACTGGACTAGCTTGGAACGGCTGCTGAGAGCTTTGCTGCAGGTCACTCGTCTATCAAGGCCCTGGTTTTGCTTTCAATCAAATGGGGATCAAAATTCTGCCTCAGCTGCCATATTGGTTCTCAAAGTCAAGTGAGAGCGTGAGGTAGTCACAGATGACAATTGGTTGTGAAATGACTGAGAACAGGCTGGGAAGGGTTTTCTCCGGGATGGAGGAGGCTGGAGGCAGGAACACTGTGGTGGGACGAGGAGTTCTGTGGACTCTTTGAGGGGCAGCCCAAGTAGATCCCCACGCCCACCCTGCTGACCCTGACCTGTCCTGGTGGCTCTCACTCAGGGACCTGCAGGTGCACAGATTGATGCTACCCCTTGTCCTGCCCAGCTTCTACTCGGAGCTCTTCACTCTCTACCTGCTTCTTCATGAGAGGGAGGACAGCCTCTACAGCCAGGGCATTGCCAACCTTAGCCTCTTCCCCGACACCAAGCTGCTTGAGTTCCTGGACGTACAGAAGTAAGCCTCCCTACCACGCAAAGACAAAACCCAAATTGTCTTCAGCAAAAAAGCGGGGAGGTTAATTGGCTCGTGTACCCATGAAGTTCTAAGGTGTGTCTGGATTCAGGTGTGGCTGGATCTGGGTGTCCAGCTGCGTGATAAAGGAAGCAGCTTCTCTCTTTCTCTGTTGGGCTCTCTGGCTCCCCCGTATGGTGACAAATGTGGTACCAGCCACTCAAGGTTTATACTCTCCCAGCTCAGGCCCCACAGGGAGCTGGTGTCTCCTTCCCAGCAGCTCCAGCAGAGCCTCTGAAGTTCCTCCCTGGCTTGGCTGGGGTCTTGAATGTGCCCCTGAATGCTGGCTGTGGCCCAGATTGGCCAGGCTGGCCTCAATATCTACCACTGGGGCTGGGGCAAGGTCGCCTGATCCCAGCTCTTGGACTGAGAGTGGGAGAGGGGAGATCCTCAAGGGGAAACCGAGGACTGTTCCGGAAGTAGGTCAGGGCCTCCCTTCCGCCCTCAGTCATCAAAATGTTCTTTCTCCTCCATACCCCTTTGATCCATTGATACTACCAGTGTTGAGGGCATGAACGCACTCTCTCCTCCCACACCTGGTTCCCTTTGTCTCGAGGTGATGGCGCTTCCCATTCCCCTTCCTGCCAAAAAACCTTGTTTCCCCTTCCCATGTGGTGAATGTTTCCTGTATCTGACCGGGCACCAGCCCAGAGACCTGGTTGTCCATGGCTTTGCAAGAGTCCCTCCTCCCCACCCCTCCTGCTGCCTCAGTGCCTCCTCCTCCATGCTGGCCTCCCTGCTCCATTGGCTCTACTTGCCTTGCGTGGCATCCCTACTTCTCGTCAGCCTGGGCCAGCTCACTGAGCCCCTGGAGCAGTCTCCACCACTGAGCTCTCTGGCCTGACCCCCAGGACTTTGCCCAGGAGGGTCCCCTGGCCTGCAGCACTGCCCCTCTGTCTCCTCATTGTGTCCCAGTCCCACTCGTGTTTTGGGGCTTCATGGAGGGCTGCCCTCTCAGGGAATCCCTCCTGCCCTCCTCTTGCCTGGGCTTCACACAAGCGTTCCCAGATGCCATTGTGCATCCCCTGCCCCTTTCCCCTGCTCAGCCCTCCTGGGGGACATGGAGATGCAGGGAATTTGCCCTCTGACCTCAGACCCCGCACCCTGGTCCTGGCAAAGCTTCCCGTCTTGCTTTAATTTCAGGCACCTGTGGCCCCTCAAGGACCTCACGCTGACGACCAATCAGGTGAGAGTGTGGGCCCATTACCTGGAGAGGGAGGTCTGAGTCTGAGCTGGGCCCCCAGGTTTGCCCAGGCTTCCGAGCAGCTCTCTGCCTCATGGTCACTGGTCAGAAGCTGCATAGGCGGGTGAGGGAGGATATGGCAGGCTTTCTGCACTGCTCTGATTTCCCATGTGGGTAAGCGTACAGCCACAGTGACCAGGTTCAAGCTTAGGTCCCACCCTTTTACTGGCTGTACGACCTTGGGTGAGACACTTGATCTCCGTGCCTCAGTTTTCCCGTCTGTAGCAGCCCCTGATGCAGCACTAGTACTGCCTCATGTGATGGTTGTCAGGGGATGTGGGCCAGACACAGGGGCATTGGTCTCCAAGTGTGTCTGCTGGATTGGCAGCATCAGCAGTGTCTGGGAGCCTGCTAGAAAAGCAGATTCTTGAACCCATCCCAGACCTACTGAGTCAGAAACTCAGGGAGTGAACTTGGAATTTGTGTTTTAACAAGCCCTGGGACTCAAGAACCATTGACATAGAACTGGGCGGCACCCAGTGACCATTGGCTGTTATGATTCTTATCTTCTTTTTCCATTTCGATCCTCCCAGCCTCCTGGAGACCATTTACTCCACTTTACAGTTGAGTAGACTGAGGCTTACAGTGGATCTGTGACCTTCCCTGGGTCACTCAGCCCTCTGGGCAGAGCTGTCCTGAAGCCAATGATGGGGAAGCGGGTGGGTGGTGAGGGGCTCGGGGGCCAGCCCTGACCCTGGAAAAGAGGAGGTGACAGAGCTGGGGGGCTGCGGCCTCATCTAACCCACTCCCCCAACCACGCAGAGATACTCCCTAGTCAGAGACAAGTGCTTCCTGTCAGCCACGGAATGTCTGCAGAAGATGATGTGAGTCCACACCCCAGGGAGGGTGGGTGTGGGTGGCAGGAGTGTTGGGGCCCCCGGTTGGGACTGAACCTGAGGGCCTTGATCTGGAGCCAGCTACCCTGCTGCAGCACCACGATGGACCCCCGGGAGAAGCTGGAGGTGCTGGAGAGGACATATGGGGAAATTGAGGCCACTGTGTCACGGATGCTCGGCCAGGAGCACAAGCTGCCCATGGACGACCTGCTGCCGCTGCTCATCTACGTGGTGTCACGTGCCCAGTGAGCCCCCGCTGGGGGTGGGCTGCAGGAGGTTCCCTTCCCACCCTGCCCACCCCCAACCAAGACATACTCCAAAGTCTTTGAACATGGGGGTTTACGGACACAGCCCTTCTTGGTACACATGGGGAAGCTGAGGCCCAGAGAGGCCCACCCAGGGTCCTGTGGGTGCCAAACTCAGAGCAGGGACCAGGTGTCCAGCCACCCAGGCCAGAGCTCCTTCCCGGCTGCTGGGTGCCTGTCCCTGATAGGTCCCTTTTTCCCTCGTTGTGGTGGCGGTGGTTCTCCAGAATCCTGCACCTGGGAGCCGAGATCCACCTGATCCGTGATATGATGGCCCCTATCCACACAGGAGGCCTGTATGACTTCTTGCTCACGGCCCTGGAGGTGAGGGACAGAGGCGGTGGGCTAGGCAGAAATGCCCTGGCCACTGGGGCAGACCCCTTTCACCCCAGACACCATCACGGGGATGAGCTCAAATTCACAGCTTCTGTGTGTCTCCATGGGAAGGGTCCTCACAGAGCCACTGCTCTTGCCCTTGTTAAAAGGGGCTGGGTCGGGGGAGGTGGGCACAGTGCATCCTGGCCCTCGGATCCCCAGGGCTGAGTGTGTTCCAGGCTGCATCCCTGAGCACGATAGGAGAGGGAAGGAGCCATTTCCTTGCAGACTGTGGCTGAGGGCTGAGTTGGAGACACAGTGGTCCAGGCCCGGGAGGTGGGTGCACCCCAGTGTCAGACCCTAGAGCCTGTGCATGTGGCTGAAGCGGGCAGGCCAGCTGGCTTCAGCCTCACCTCTCTCCCGCCAGTCCTGTTACGAGCACATCCAGAAGGAGGACATGAGGCTGCATCGCTTGCCCAGCCGCTAGAACTCCAGGGAGCCGTGGTAGCTCAGCTTCTCCTGGACAAACCGCAGAGCTGAGAAGGGCCGCCGTGGAATTCCCGTGGAGTGAGCGTGGCCCACTCTGGCCCTGGTGGCCCACAGGACAGAAGGCAGGATGAGCCCTGGAGGTGGCTCTTGGGGGAGATGAGCGTTTAATTTCTCGCAGGGAGATGCTGCTGCTGTCCTGACTGGGAGGAGGGTGAGGGTGATGGGTGTGGCTCCAGAGCTGGTGGTTTCCCCTCCCCCTGCCCCCTGCCACTCTCTAGGCCAGCCTTGGATGACCTTGACCAGCAGCAGCTCATGGACTGGGGGCAAGGAGCCCCTGGCCTCTCCTTGCCTCATCCTTGACTCCAAGTTATTGAGCCTCTCTGGGCCTCAGTGTTGCCATCTGTAAAATGGTGGACTACATGGTCTGTAAAGGGCCTTCCATCCATCTTGCTGACTTCTGGCGTCCTTCCGTAAGTCTGACTTTGGTCTGTTGGGCTGTAACTGAAGTTCTTATGTCTCGGGTGGTGTCATTCCATTTCTCCTCTCCTGGTCAGAGGCTCCAAGCTGCTAGCGACAGCTCCGTTTATTGGGCTTTTTTCCCATGAGCTGTCTCCTGTGGACCTGCCTTCTTCCCGACTGCCCCAGGGCAGAGCTGGCCTCTCAGGGCTGCAAGGCAGGAACAGCTCCACCTCCACCCTGACCTGCTGGGTGGCCTCTGGCTAGGCCCTTCCCCTTGCTGGGTATGCAGTTGAGAGCGTCGGCTTGGGGGTCTCTGAACTAGTCCGCATGTCATGGCCGTGCTGGAGCAGGCTGGGGGCGGGGGAGGAAACTCACCTTGCTTGCCTCACTGCCAGCAGGTGCCAAGGGAATTACACACCTATGACCTCTGTGGGCCTGCGTGCAGGAGGGACAACGGAGGCACGAGGTTGGCCTGTGCCCTGACCGATATGCACCTCTGGCTCAGGACCGCAACAGGAGTTGGGGAGGGAGGCGTTGGGAGCTCCTTTGCCTTTGGGAGGAGAGGACTTTATTTCAATAGTGGTTCTCGTGTGGGACCAAAAAACACAGAACTGGGTCTCGGGGCAGCTTCATCCCTGCTGGGCCTCAGTTTCTCCTCCCCACATGGAGGAGTTTGGGCCAGGTGGCCTGCAGGGGCTCCCCCTGCCCTAACAGGAGATGTGTGACAGTAGGCAGGGTGACTGTGTTCTGAAGTGGTCCAAGGGCAAAGCATGGGGAGAGGGTGGGTTTATGCAGGGGCGTAGCCCTGGAGGACAAGCTGGGCCTAGCTGCCAGGCCCATGCCTTGGACTGTAAGCAAATTGGGTCATACATCTTGGCTCTGGGTGTGCCTTCCATAAGAAACCCTGAGGGAGGCTCCAAGAAAGCCTGGGCCCAAGGCCGAATCCCCAAGGATCTAGCAGGGGGCGATCCAAGGACCCTCAGAGATACTGTGGGGCACTGAGTGGAGAGACTCAGCTGCCTCCATGCACTGCCGCCTCCAGAGGAAGGGGCGGGGGTGAGCTTTCCCTGGCTGTTCCGCCAAATGTGGCAGCTTGAATGGAGAAAGGTCCTGGTCTCTGGTTTTGCCAGACACTCCTGTGGCGTCCCCGCAGAGTCCCTGGAAGAGGGTTGAACTGAGGAAGGGTAAGGATATCCAGGCTGCCGTGGGCATGCACCTCACCCAGGACTATGGCAGCTCTCCAGCAGTTGTCAGGTAGTTCTTGTCCCTTAACAAGTGACAACAGCCTTGCCCAAGGGCAGCCCTGAGTTGGTGCGATGCTGCAGCCTCACTCCAGAGAGCACCGCACGCTCCCCGGCTCCATCAGGATCAGTGCACGCTCACCGCAGTGCAGATCCACCAGGACCTTTCACCCATCCTCTTGCTGGACCTCCCCAACACCTACTGAATTGGGGCCCCTGGACAGGGCTTCAGGAGATTCCTGGGGCAGCTCAGGCTGTTGTGTCAGACCCTTTCAGCACAACCATAAAGCCAGCAGGGGCCTTCGAATTAGACAGTGAGCGAATTGACAACTGAGGTCAGTTCTTCATTTACAGAAGAGATACCTGGAGCCAGGTAACCACCTGCCGTGTGGGTGCCTGGGGAGGCTGATGGAGATGGCCACCTGCAGGCAGGCGAGTCCCCGCTCCAGTGATGGCCTCCCCCGGCTGCTGCAGGAGCCCCTTCGCTGCAGTGAGAGCACTGGTATCCACTCTGTGAGTCTGGTTGGGAACCAGGAACTCTAGTGCCTCGGGTGATCCGGATGATGTCAAAAGCAGCCTCTGCGCTCCGTCTTTCTGGTCCCCATCTCTTCTCCAGTATGAGGATTCTGCTTTCAGCCGTGATCGTGAGGAAGTGGTAAAATTCTTCACAATCAGTCTCAATCAAGACTTCATGATCACCAGGGCCAGAGAGGAGAGAGGCCAAGGGAGATGCTTTTCACTGACGGCATTCTGACAGGCTACAAAGAGCCACACTGGCCCTGCCCTCAAGGGGCTGGACTTGGGGCTGAGAAAGACAGACACCTGAGAGTTATTAAATGGCCTGTCAGTGAGCAGATGTGTCCGAGTCACACGGCCCAACCCCCGACTTTTCTCCCTCAATGCAGCCCTGGTCCTGCTTGCAGTCTCTCATGCAACCTCTCAACCCCTGTTTCCCCCCGGCTCTTTACTTCCCTTCAGCAGTCAAACCTATCTGCTGCCACCTCCTGCTCTCCAGCTCCTGCCCCTCCTTGTTCTGTCCCCTAGAAGTGTCCTCCTCCAGTTCCACTGGGTCCCAGGCTGCTCCATCCTCGCAGGCCCAGCTCTCACGAAGCCCCGTATCCCGGGGCAGGAGTCTCCCTGCTCCCCAGCCCTTCTCCAGGGCCCCTTCCCTGGCCTCATCGCATTACTGGTGTGTGACTGGTGGGTGCCTGCTTCCCCCCAGTTCGCCAGGCGCACGGCTCACTGTGCTTGCTAGGCCGAGAGAAGGGGGAGCTGGATCCGAGTTCTGACCAAGTCTCTCTTTATTCAGACCACCCCTGAGGGTGCTGGGAGCTAGTGCACAGTCTGGGCGGCCCCTTGCCCACTGCAGCCCCAGAGACGCTGGAAGGAGTCGGGGTGGGGGGTGAGAGAGCAGTCTGAGCAATGCTGTGTAACCCGAGCAGGGACCTGAGTGAGGGCCACATGGCCACAGCTGTTGGGGCTCCCGGAGGGATGGCTGCTTACTGTGGGGTCAGCGAATGGCTGGGACTGCCCTCCTGTGGGTACTGGGGAAGGAATAAGTTCAGGGTTAGGGTCAAGGTCAGAGTCAGGGCCAGTGTCAGCTTAGGGTTAGGGGTTAGGATTGAAGTGAGAGTGAGAGTCAAGGTCAGGTTCAGGTCAGCTCAGGGTCCTAGTGCAGGTCAGGGCTTTCCTGGTTGGCTTGGTCAAGAGTTGTGCAGAAGTGAGCTCTGGCTTTTACCTCACCGTGAGTAAGAACCAGGGATGGGGACCAGGCTGCCAAGGCCTTGATGTGTCCATGACCTCGGCCAAGTCCTTCCCCTAACTGGGTCCTCTGAGCTGTGTGGAAGGAAGGTTGCTGCCAGGCACTATTGTTCTGCCATCCAGGAAGGAGGAGGAGACCTGGAGCGGGGGAGCATGTGTTCCGCTCCTGGAGAAACAGGACTGAGCGGCTAGTCAGGATGGGGACTGAACCCAGACAGCCTCATTCCAGAGCCCAAGCTCCACCTGGGGGGTGAGCTGGAGCCCAGGAGTCAGGGCCACCTCCCCTCTCCCCACATGCACAGAGATGGGCAAGTCTCTCCCAAAGCCACCTCCGCATGTGCCCCTGGATGAGGCCTGCCCCGCCAGGTCCAGGGGGGGCTGGCAAGAGACCGGGAGAGGGGGAGGTGGTCCCGTCAGCAGGACCAGGTCGGGGGTGACAGATCCAGCAATCAGTTCAGTGTAGAGCACTAGCTACGGTCTGTAGGAAGTACACAAGAGAAGTTTGGTTTTGCTCTTGTTCTGACAGTAGAGGGAGACCACAGGGCACCAGCAGTAATGACGCTAAGTGAGATCGTATCAGCATCTAGAAAATTAATCTTATTTTGCCATTTTGGTGGAGGCCATCCTGCCTCCCCAGTCAATAGTCCTCAGTTCAGAGTGTCCCGAGAGTGGGTGTCCAGGACTTAGATCGAAGGCAGTGATGATGGTCTGGAATGAGGTTGCCAAAGCATTCTGAGATGACAGGCTGGGCCAGGTGTCCTGCAGGTGAGAGCCAAGTCGCTAATGCCCCCCTCCCCAACGTCTCTGACCTTCAGGAGTCCGAGGTGCTCCTTCCCCACCAGCGGAGCAGCTGTCCTTTCTCGGCCGCACGGTCAGTATATGTATGACCTGTCCCTGCAGCACAGGGACTTTACCCTTTTAGAAGTCCTCACCATTTCTTACTCTGGCTGGATTCATCCCTAGGAGATTGCTATGTGGCATCCCAGAACGTGGTGGCCATGCTGGCAGGACTACCTTAGGAGGTGTCACCTCATACTCATGCTCATTATCAGCAGTGTCCACAATTGCCTGATCCAGCAAGCACAGGCATGAGGTAAGGGAAGCCCCAGGCTTGTCATCTCAGAATGTTTTGGCAACCTCGTCCCAGACCATCACTACTGCCTTCAGGAAACCAGGCTACGGGACCTGTGGGTGGCAGAGCAGAGCTGGAGGTGGGCACAGGAGGGGAAGAGGGAAGCGGGAGAAGGCTCATTACGTGAAAGGTCCTGTGAGTGCCAGATAGTTGTCTGCTGTTGGCACTTGTGACCATGAGGGTGGCATCACTGTCTGACTGGTTGTGTTCAGGGAGTTCAAATATGTAGCAGCACATTTAGGAGTTCTCAAATGGTATGGCCTGCGTTTGCTCTGCAAGTGGGAATTGTGTTGTACCCGGAAAGGGTCTCACTGTAGTCAACACCCAGTGGTACCCCTGGGACAAGGGTAAAGGGTTTCTAGAGTCTATTTGCCAGGAGTGGCCAGGTCTAGTGCACTGGACCGTGCACCCCAGAATTCCCTTTGT